CRTTMMWAKKAAWWAYGSKAAAAAAATGTAATTAATTCAGAAAATCTTTTCAGGACCCCACCTTGATGTTTTGGGACCCCACTTTGGGTCCCGACCCCAACTTTGGGAAACACTGATCTAACAGACACAAGGAGCAAAACTGTTTTTAACTAAACACATTCAAATTCAACACAACAAGTATCAAACTCAGGTATCTGAGGGTTTTGTTCAGAGTGAGTAAAGAGTMAGATCCACAGACGGATCGGTGCAGCTCCTGCAGAATTCTGGACTCTGTTCCAGTCTGATGATGTTCAGACGAGCTGAGCTGTCAGGAGCTCCATTAATGTTCCTACCCTCACATACGGCCACAAATTACTCAACAGGAAGAATAATTACATCAGAACACTTGAAAGTAAATCAGAATTATCATAGGAGATTCATCATTTCTTTACACAATCAGGAACTGTGCTGTGATGAAATTATAATGTCAATGTTGCAGTTCCCTTTCCTAACACTAGGTGTCAGTAACAAGAGAACAACACCAAAATAGCAGGAGCAGCACCAGAAGAGCCAAACAGGAGWGTTATTTATATTTTCATTTAATCTGCTTTACTTCTGAACAGATGTCTGAAGAAACAAACCTGTTTTCACACTCTTTCTATAAAATAAATATTTTGTATTTTATAGGTGAAATTACGGTGTTCAAACCCAAAACAGATACTGACACAAACACGTTTGTACCATAKGCTACTGTAGATCAGCTAATGAAAATCAGTCCCTGCTATTAAATTTTGATTTAATAAAATAACAACAAAACTGTCCATGGCAAAAATAATGATACACTTAGCTCAATATTCTGTAATATTAATATTTAAGACTTCCAGACGGCTAATAAAAAGCAAACTGGAGCTCAGACTGTGATGAAACTGAAGAAATGAAAGGTAAATGTAGAAATAAAGTGAGGAACAGAAGGATGAATGACTGAGATAAARCTGTCAACCATCAGACTGAGAGCAAACACTTCATTATTATTCCATTCATGAGATGGATTCCTTCTGCAGGCCGTCACAGTCCCTCTCTCTGCAGACTGCTGGTGTTGGAGGCAGTAAAATCAGACTTTCTGACCAGTAACAAAGASCTGGGAGGAGGCTTTATCCTCTGCACCTCCCGAGACATCACTCCACTTCACCTCCACACAAAGAGCTGCTGTAAATCAGTTGCTGCTTCACTGTGAGGCGGTGATCAGTGAGCATCACACTGACTGAGCTCTGCAGACCACCTGTCCCCTCCGGCCCCTCACAGCTCACACAGACAGGCCTTCGACAGGTGGGAGCAGGATCAAGCTGCAGGTCCGACAACAAGTCGTGTTTCTCAGTAGTTTGTACARAAACATGTTTTATACACGTGTCAATCAGAACTCTGCATTTATTCAAATGTGTTCACGAGAATAAAAACAAAGAATATTTTGACGTTTATTACGTTTTAAACTGGCTGTGAAATGAAAAGAGGACAACTTTTATTTTTAAACATGTTCTCGTATCAGTGAAACATCTAATGTTGAACTTTTTAAGGTGAGAGTTTAACAGTTAGCAGCAGAGTCTCTCGTCAGTCAACAACTGAGCCGTGAGAAACAAAGCAGAGTTTTCTACAGATTTAGAGGGCAGCAGGCTGGACCTGCTGACGTTTGGGAGAAAGCAGACGGCATCATTTTGACTTGTTTATCTCAGCAGTTTTCACACATTAGTGCACAGACACGTGTTCCGTTTCTGCTGGTGTTTCGTACTTGAGGTACTTCTGGTGTTTCAACACTTGGTTTTACTGGTGTGTTTGGGGTGCGTTAGCTTTACCTCWGTGTAATAAATAGTCTGTTGGGACCTTTGGAGACTGAACTGAAAGCTCGGCTCCTTGTTGAAAAGCCAGTAGCTTCTGGTTATCAAACTGCAGCTGATGGAGGCAGACGGCTGCTCGTCCTGCTGGATTACACGTATTGTATTATTTTTAGGATCTGAATTGACAAGAACTGGATTTGAATCTGTTTCTGAATTGAAAAATATGATCTGTAATTCTATTTTTTTTTCATTTGTAAAAATTACTGCTTCAGTTTTTTTTATTGCCCAGATCTGCTGTTAGCAGATAATGCAATCATATTCCATGTTAATTATAAACCTATAATAGACAAACATGTATTTAAATTCTGATTCAGCCCTGAACCATGGTTCCAGATCTTCATGTGGCCTAATATGAATGTTCACCTTCAGTCTAGAGCGAGGGCAGGCAACTGGTGACCCGTGGGTGACTTCCACTTGGCCGAATTTCAAGACAAACCTGTGTTCAGTCTGCTTAGAGATGCTGTCTGCCATAAAGGATTTTATTGGAAGGCACTACAACATGTTGCACAAAGCTAAATATGGGAAATTTACTGAAGTCACAAGAACATAAAGAAAGACTTGTTACTAGAACCAGTAGGTATATGGACTCCACACAGTCCATTGAGAATCTTTGGGATGTGCTGGAGAAGGCTTTGTGCAGCGGTCAGACTCTACCATCATCAATGAAAGATCTTGGTGAAAAATGAACGCAACACTGGATGGGAAGAAATCTTGTGACATTGCAGAAGCTTATCTAAACAATGTCACAGTGAATGAGTGTCGTAATCACAGCTAAAGGCAGCCCAACAGTATATATGTGCACAAACATTTATAAAATGGCAGTTTTGTTACTTTGTATGTGACCCTCTGGTGTCTACACAATGTGGCTCCTTCCATCATTGATGATGGCTCCTGCAGCTGCACCGGCCCTTCATTAACTGATATCGGGGACCAGATTCTAGTCTCTGCAGGACTCTGTAGACCAGCTCTGTGGCACACAGCAAGGAGCTGATGGAGGCTGGATTAGCCAACATTCAGGGCTCTTCTTCAAGTCAACACAGAAAAACTAAAGTAATGCAACACAACAAATGATGCTGGTTTACCAGTCTGTCAATGTCCCTGCTCCGCTGACCAGGACTTCACCCAGCTGTCCTCAGAGGACAAAAGACTGAACAGGAAGGTGAGTTTGCACCATTTAGGCAGGAGGACAGATGTTTCTACAGCTCCAGACAAAACCCACACTGCTGTAGCCTCAGACAGGAACACTGGTTCTTTGGCAGAGGGTGGTATTAGACAGGATGTAGCCCAATCTATTTCTGACCACATTACCAAACAGCAGCTGCTCAGCCTCAACAATCCTCTGGTGTTTTGAGATGAGGAACACAGACCGACTTGATTCCTAAACAAACAATGGGCCCTTTTGTTGGGGTGAATGTTGTTGTTGGGTTTTTTTTATACCAACTCAACGTGGTGTTGGAACAAAATTAAAACTTTCTCATATTCTGCATGTAAACCCAAGACATTACACCTAATGATGTTTATACTTCTAGTAGTTCTGAATCATCCTTCTATAATCCTCAGGTCATTTTCCCTCAATGCAAAAATTTAATCAGTGTGCATTGCCAATGCAATGCACACTATTGTGATTCGTTTCCCATCCAAGTCATCTCAACTTTGCCATGCTTCTCCTCCTGCATACTTTGACCTAGAGCTGCCATTGTAATTTATATCTGTAAAGCCCCTGTACCAAATGATGGCTATGCCTTTTGGTGCCTGTAAAACTTATAGTTGTTGAAATATTAATGTTTAATAAATTATAATGGCAGTCAAAGGAGCCTTGTATTGGTCCAATACTGCCCCCTGCTGCCTCTACACAATATGGTACTGCACCATAGTTTTATAATATTTAAACTCAGTAGTTCAGTGATTACAATATTAATATGATTGTATTTTGATGTTTTACTGTAATAKTGTCTTTATGTTGTCTTATTGCTGTAATATTTTGCACTTAAGTGGCAATAATTGCATTGGCAAGGTAAACTTTTTCTGTATACATACAATCCAATCCCTGGGATTGTCCTCTGCCACATCTCCTATAGTCTCATGATGAGCACTGTGGGCTTTCATGCGGGAGATCAGGGTTCAAATCCAGCTACTGCAACTTTAACAAAAAGCCCTTAAAACTTCATATTGTCACACAATTACCTTAATTACAAACACCTGCTGACGTGACAGGCACAAGCTGGTATAGAAAACACATTTGAACTTGGTCAAAGTTCATTCTGAAAGTCCAGTGCTCCTGCCTACATTGTCCTACAGCTGCCATTGTAATTTCTATCTGTAAAAGTCCTGTGCCAAATGACTGCTATGCATTTTGGTACCTGTACAACTTGTAGTTTTTGAAATATTAATGTTTAAACTTTATTCCAAATTTATATAATGAGAGTCAATGGGGCCTTGTAATGGTCCAATACTGCCCCCAGCTGTACTCAACTTGGCCTCTTTCTGCACACATACAAACCAACCCCTGCCACCACCTTCTGCCACAACTCCATTGGTCTAATGGTCTGTGTCATGGACTTTCATGTGGGAGATCAGGGTTCAAAACCTGGCTAATGCAACTTTAAGAAAAAATCTCTTCAAACTTCATCTTGTCACTCAATTACCTTGTCTTAACACCTGCTGATGTGACAGGCACAAGCTGGTATAGAAAACACATTTGAACTTGGTCAAAGTTCATTTTGCAAGTCCAATGCTGCAGGCAAAGCCATGTTGCAATGACATGCTACATGGCAACGCACACTTGTTTTTACATTGTAAAAACCCATGTCTAGTTATAAGTAAATTTTCAAGTGACAGTAATCCACCACATCTTTATAATCTTTAGGTCTTCCTAACTAAAGTCAAAGGCACAAGCCTTCTGACATTTCTTAGTTCCCTGGTGTTTTTACGTTTATTGATAGTGATATTTTAGATGTTTCAGTTCTACATTCTGCTCAAGGTGCCTCTAAGAAAACCAAGTTTGGTTTTATGTATCGGTCAGTTCAGTTTCTGATTCTTCTGTCAAGCAACGACTGCTTCACGACAAATGCAGAGACAGAAGCTGCCATGCAAATAAACAGTTGTGATCTCTTCCTGACATCTCCACTGAGGCCTGAAGGGAAGTTCTTACCGTTGCTCAGAACGCTGTTTGATCTCCTCTCTTCTCCTGGCAAACCTCTCCTCGTCTCTGTCAGGCCTGGAGATAACACAAGACATGAAAGAAGAGTCAGAAACACTCAACAACAAACACGTCCCCGCTTTATTTTAGCCAATTACATTTATCTACAAACAGCTGCGTTGGCTTAAGGGTCACTCCTTTCAGAAGAAAAACAAGTCAGAAGTTACAGATTTAAACTTGGATTTCCTGCAGCTTGATGGATATCTGACTCCTGGACTGGCAGCAGAAAACTGACAAGACTTTTTGTTTATTTACCTTGGTAACATTAGTTGTTAGAGTTAACCCAATATCAGTTAGTGACATCATTCTGTAACCGGATACTGGGCTGAGGTCACCAATCCAGACTCTATAATCCTGCATTACTGCAGTTTTAACATGGATAATAAAATAAATCTTGTAGTTTATAGATACATGTACTTAACCTGCAGAARGACAAACAGTAAGAACATTACTAAAAGCAACAATACAGCTAAGCAGTGGCTATTTTTGCCCCTTTTTTTAGTGGTGCTCAATCACCCTAAACTGAACTCAGCACCCCCTGAAAATTAAGAAACTAGATTACTATTTTATAAGGAATTTGGTTTTCAAACCTTAGATTCACCAAAATATTGAACTAATTTGCAACTAGAAGCACTTATATAGAGAGTCAGATCTGGAGTGAAAAATATCAGGATATCAGATAAGAAACAAACAAAAAGTTTAATCAGTAAATCTAATGTAACATAAACACGTCATAAAAACATCACAGGATGTCAGATGTTCCAGATTAAAACAGGTGTGGAGTTTCAGGAATGATTTCTGTTCATTTTACACTCAGATGACAGACCAAACCAAAGCTGCTCCCCCACAGGACTATCGATGACTGACAGGCAGGACTGATAAAAGCCTTAACTTGTCCTACATCCTGTCTGAGGACCTTACCTTGAAGAACGCGTCCTGCAGCAGCAGCAGCAGCAACAGATGGCGATGCTGACGAGGATGGTTCCACCCAGCACTGCGAGCGAAATGATCAGGGCTTCAAAGTTCACTGAGTCACAAGGAGATAAATAATTAATATTAAGAAGAGGATCTTTGTACAAAGTCATCAGCTACATGGACGGAAAAACAAACTGAGTCTCAGTGGACATCAGCAACAAATCACAGCATGAGAGTGGCTCCATCTAGTGTTGTTTTATAAACACTGCAGGTCATTCCACTGAAACGAAACTCTGTTTCCACTGAAACATAACTAGTTTGATTGAAGTTTTTATGAGTCAAGTTAGAATAAAGCTCCACCACACACAAACATCACATGTCAGTAAACATGTGACCAACCCACATTTAGACACTAGTGAACGTGACAAAAACATTTTGACCTAGACAAACATTTTTACTTTGTAAAAACAAAAAATACCTTGAAAATGAATCAGGCCTGAAGTCTTCAAACAGCACAAATTTTATACAGTATATATATATATATATATATAGTTATTGAAATTTGAAGCTTATTTTTGATTGATTTTATATGAGAAAAAAAGGGCAGACATAAGATTTTGTCTTCTTCTGCTGCCTTTCATTTATTTGTGATTTGTATTTTAATTTATATGAAACCAAGTCTCATTGAAAAGATACTTTCCCGTGTTTAAACGACAGGCAGCAGACACAACTTTTGGGCGGGTGAACAAGCCGCTGTGTGCGGGGGAACAGTAGCAGCAAAGAGGTCGAAAACATAGAAGTAAACTGTGCCCTTTMTTGCCTGCAGTTAACACAGGAWTAACTGCYMACAAAGAGAAGCAACCTTTGATGAAGACAGACTAAGTCAGCCTCTGATTACGGTGCTTTARTCTGTTTATTTACACAGCCAACGCTTCTCGGGAATGATTAACAATAAAAAACTTTAGACTTGACAAAATTAAATTTAAGGCCTTGGATAAAAATCTGGGTATTTTAAAGACATTTTAGGCCTAAAATTTTGATATTCAAATTTTAGACTTTTTAAGACCCTGCATGAACCCTGCTAGCAACACCAAAACAGAAAGTAGCAAAATATTAATATATTAATATTGTAAACTAACAAAATCAGCTTAGAGGCCATACTTGAAAAACTAATGGACCTGCTATACGAGCTCATTTATTTCTGACAAGAATAATATTAAAAGCACGTCTATGCAAATGACAAAAACCTAACAATAACCTCTTTAAACGTTCTATTTTAATACTAAGATTTTTATTTTAAACTGTATTTGTTTCTCTCGCTTCATCCGTCATTACAAGCAAAAAAAAAAAAAATTCCCGTCGGCCCGCAATGCATCTTGGGATAGGGTGGGCCAAGAAGGATCCACTTGACCCGTCCCTCAAATCAGGCCAAAGGAAGATACATTTGAGGGCCACATCAGAGGAGTTGTCAAATTTGGACAGCCTTCAGTGCGTCACTGTGATGTAAGCTGCCAACAAACTCATCCTTCGGACACATCCCGAGTTTGGATACAGCTTTTATCTTCACTCTGTCCTGCCTTAAATGATAGCCACACCTTCATTATGACCACATGATCACAGGAGAGCCAGCGTGTAAGTATATAAGTAAAATAATTAACTAAATAATCAACTGTTAATATATTTTCTATCCATTACATTATTTTTAGGAATGTTAAGATCCCAAAACCGATAATAAAAAATTGAATTTAAACAGTTGTACTGATACATATTTTAAATATACATACATATCAATATTATGACCATTGAACCACTTAGATTTAATTATTTAACTATTAGTAATAAACTATGCTGCACTTCTAAGCATTTCTGCTGTGAGAGGGGAAGAATTGGAAAGCAGCTACCATCACCTTTATATACAATGGCAGCTTTGAGCATAATTAAAACATTAATAATTAAAAAAACATAGCTTGTACGGCCACCATGAAACGTAGCCATCATCCCAGCTTTACAATTAGAAATTACAAAGACAGCTCTAGGACAAAGTATGCAGGACTAAATGTGCAGTACAGTAACAGAGGGAGAATAAGGAAGAAAAAAAATAAAAATAAAAATAAACAGAAAGACAATAGCGTGCATTTTCAATGCACACTAATTATAAGATTTGATGTTTTCAAGACATAAGAATCATGATCTATTTTTTACCAGGTCTTAAGGGAAGATAAATATGACCTTAAATGAACAACAGTACAATGTGATTATTATTTTAAAAATAACAACTGAATGTTCAGTTCTACAAGACGGTCGAGTTTTTATCAGGTTCTAAATGTATTCAAATTTAAACTCAGGTGAACAAAAACAAACATCAGATACCACCATTTTGTCATTTATTAAAGAAAATTCAAACCCAAATAGAAAACCTGTGAGTGAAAAACGGCATCCAGCCTTCCTGCTTCCATAGGACCTAAAAGGTTCAGTATCAGCCAGGTGCTGCTGATCAGATGCATTAATTAACTGATCATAATCAGTTAATTAATACAGCTCAATATTTCTATCTCTTTTTATCTTAATTCATGGGTTGCAGCCAACATAGATGGTGGCCCACATTGGCCACAGCCAGATGGGCCGTAGGCCGCTCGTGTCGACTGCATAAAAGGCTGTGAAATGAGACGGTCTAGTCTACAGAAGACGTATGTTTGTGTGACCAAGTTCTGCCCCATTAACATGGTGATATGTTTGATATCACATCACTTCAGTTGTTTTTTTTTTTTTCCCAAGGTATAACTTCACAGAATTCAGTTTTAACAGAAAAACGTTACAAGTAACTACATAAAAAGTATGAATAATTTGGGTTTAGCTCCAGTATCAGTACTTGTAATGGCATTTTATTTAACATCTCATTGCAATAAGTTGCTAAACTTACAATCTTCCATCTGCGAAATTTTCCAAACTCTGCCATCACAACCAAAAAAATAAAAATAAATAAAAACCTCAGCCATAAAATTAAAACCTACCTGTACAAAACAACAAGACAGTAGCCAGTTCTGGGATACTATCAGCCGCAGATGCAGCCTACATTTTTGGGGTTTTGTCGGCCACGTGTGTAGGCACCTACGAACTGGGACAGCCTACGGCGCGGGGCAGTGACGTAAGCGATGTCAGATGCAACCCATGAATTGAGACACAGCCTTAAGACACATGAGACCAGAAGTGGAAATATTTACCCATAATGCACAGCAGCGTGTTAAGACAAAACCAAACAGCTCATGTCAGCACAGAGGTGGAGGCAGATGTTTGGAATCCACAGAGTGGACCATGACCTCCTCTGTGGACCAGAGGTTCTACAGTCAGATGTGATTCCTGCAGTTTATCAAGCTCCTCTCTTGTGGAACCAACTTCCAGTTAATGTCCATGAGGCTGACACTGTCTACTTTTAAGATTAGACTGAAGACTTTCCTTTTTGATAAATCCTATAGTTAGGGTTGGTTTCCTGAGTTATTCTTTATTTCGGTTTAGACTATATGGCAAACTGACCACATTTTCTCACTCTGCTCTTCACTCTGTACCYGTAACTATTTCTGTCATTAACATTTGTTTATCTTTCTACCCACAGAAATCATACCAGAACCAGTGATTCTGTGTTCGTCTTGCTCCTGTCTTCTCTAACTCTAACCACTGAAGACAGATGGTGGCTCACTCTGAGCCTGGTTCTTATCTGATTGAGGTTTCTTCCTCAAAGCGGTTGTTTCTTTCCACTGTCTCCAGTGTTTTTGATAACTTTTTCTAATTAAAATTTTAGTTTGTGAATGTTTTTATCCGGACACCTGAGATAACTTTTGTTGTGAATCATTTCAATATATAAAAACAAAGTTTTCTTTCATCTGGATCAGCTTAACGTCAGGTTTCAGAGCTTCAGAAAGATTTCTATAAACAGACATTAGTGCTTTTCACCTTCTGGTAGTAGCTGATTATAAAATGACACTGATGTGCATTCTGTGATTAGCGCCACTTCTGACTAAAATCTATTAGAGACATGAGGAATCCCCCTTCCTCTGTRAGTTTTAGTTGATTTATTTGGCGCAGCTTTTCAACCAAATAAAAGAGGAAGCAGGTAGAACGCTGCCAAACTGAGACCGAGAACAGCCAGAGACAGAGAGAGGCACAGATGGCTTCACGCATGGAGATGTTGACAGATGTTGACAGATACTCACACCAGCACAAGCCCCAGCGGGCCTGGGCAAGCGGGCAGACAGAAGCTGGAGGCAGCAACCAGGTGACGGGATACTCGGTGCAGTTGTTGGTGGAGAAGCACCAGAGACACTGTTCAAACACAACATTAAGATTATTAGGAACAAAGAGGGCAATCACATCCTAACTGTAAATAACTGAGGTTATAATCTGATTTTAGATGCACTGAACATCGATTATCAACCACATCGCAGAGCTTTTGTTCTGAATCAAATGGAGAAGAGTCCCACCCGTAATCAAAAAACTAATATTCACATTTTATTAGTGTTTTAACACAGGAGTCTTGTTATCAATTAGTCAAACTGTCCATGTTTATGACTTAAAGTTTAACCTGTCAGAACAAAGGTCCGATCTTGAACTCACCTTAGCATGTGGAACACAGGTGTCGCAGTTCTTGTTGATGGAACAGGCTGAAAATACAGTAAAAAAAGCGAAAATCATAATAAAACATGGTTACACACACATCACTGTGTGTGACGTACTTTAAAAACACAGCTATGACCAGTTATTTTGTTTATTTCTTAACTGCCACTACTGCCATTTAGTTACGAAACAGCAATAAACTATATGTAAAACATGTGCTCGGTGTGTACAACACGAYTTAAGGTTCTTTAAGAAAAAAAAGCCTTAACTTACGAGGTGTAGGCGGCGGCGTTGGAGACGTAAACTGGAATTCACCCGGAGTAACAAACAATAAAAATACGACCAAAAACACACTTTGTTTCAAGGTTGTTAAAGAAAACATGATGAAAGTCAAAATCCAAACACGCAAGTTTTCTTAGAAAACCTCAGAATATCGTAATCTGTGGTTCGCGTCTCCTGCTAGCTGCTGTTTGTTTCTGTTTATCTGTCACTTCCGGGTTTCAAGGTGCGTTTGGTCTACCCTTACAGTCCGTGCGGGAGGAGTTAGTGCCTGTATTTGTCACGTTTCCAAAAACAAAAAGAAACCGGCGGATTCTTTCTATTCTCTGGTTAAAGAGTTTTCGCTTCCCATCCTGGGAGATTTCCCGATTCGAAATAGTAGTGTTATCAAGCCGCACGAGACTCTGTGACGTTACACACTGAAATAGAAGAATAGAAGAATATATAT